AAAAAAAAAAAAAAAAAAAAAAAAAAAGGTAAATTTTAATTAAAATTTATAATTTTTTTATTATTTATGTTTTTATTATTTATGTTTTATATTTACAATTTTTTAATAATTTTTCAAAAACACAAGAATCCAAAGGAATATAAATTAAAAAGACAAAAAATAACATTTTTTAATATTTTTATATATAATTCCATTTAAGTTAATTTATATTATATATACAGTTAGATATATGTAAGCATTAATTTTTTTTTTTTTTAAATTCCAATTTAATTTATTGATACTTTTAAATATGATTAGTAGCCCTAAAAAGAAATTAAAAATAAATGAGTTTGAATATAAAGCAATTAATCATAATGAAAAAGAATCAACAAAAGAAAAGATAAATATAAATGAAAATAAAGTAATAAGGCATACAAATGATAATAAAAATAGAAAAATATGGTTATGTAGCAAAATAAATAGTATTTGTGACAATCTGAAAATATTTAGAAAAAAAGATGATAGTGAAGAAAAAAAAAAGAAAAATAAAAGATCATTTGAAGATATTTCAAAAGATACTAAAGAAAAAAAGAAGGAAGGAAATTTTAGATCCTCTTTTGGATATTTATCTTTGTTGAAATCATTGCTACATATTTATAAGTTTTATACCACGAATGATGTTGAATATTATGTAAGTTCTTGTGTTAGTAGTAAATATTTAGAGGAACAAAATTGTATACAAAAGGATTATGATATTAATGACAATGAAGAGAATCATGAAGAAAAATTAGAGAGTTTTTCTGAAAAGGAATATATTACAGGAAAGCATAAAGAACAAGAAAAAAAAACATACAATAATAAATATAATGATATTTTTGTTGAGATTATAAATGAAAAGTCAGGTTTTTTTTTTATTTTTAATACTATATTTTTTACTTATTTAAAAAACTATTATTATTTTGTTGATATAGTTAATATTTTAAATTACATTGGTGATAATAAAAGTATTAACAAAATGGATGAAAAGAATAAAGATATTTTAATATATGAACAAATCGCATTATTTGTAGAAAATAATTATGATATATTGATTTATAATAAAAAAAATTCAAACAATAACATAAAAAATAAATACAATAATATTATATCACAAAAAAAATTAATAGGATCAGTAAACAATAAATCTAAAGATATAGAACAAATTAAAATAAATTTAGAAAGTTTAAAGAATAACAAATCATGTGAAGAACTTTTATATATATCTATGAATGAATGTAATAAAAAAATTTATCACGAACTCAGTAAAATACCCAATTTATTTCATGATATATATGAAATAAGTGATTATAGCAAAAATGAAATAATAAGTGATGAAAATCATGAGAAAATGATGCATCATTTAAATTATAAAAAAAATCCTACACTATATAATGATAAAAATAGTTGCACATCACTAGAATATGATAATTTTAAAAATGAATGTAATTCTCTTAACTCGAATTCATTTAAAAGAAATAATTTATCTTTATATAATAATGAAAATAATATTTTAAATGAAGGAAATAAGGAAATTAAGGAAGAAAATTCAGAAATTTTAGAAAATGAAACTCATAAATCTATAACAGTAAGTGAATGTAAAGATAATAAAAGTAAAGGTTATTTTATAAAAAAATTTTTAATGAATATATTTAATCGTTCTAAAATTAATAATAATATAAATAATGAAAATGAAATAAGTGAAAACATAGATGATGCAGTACATATTAATGAAAATATAAATGTTTTAAATTTCACTGATGAAAAGGAAAATACTAAAGAAACAGAGTATAAAGAAAAATATTGTTCTGAAAAAATAGGTTTTATAAAAAATGTCAATGATAAGAACACTTTTGGTGAATTAAGAAACAGTTCTAATAGTGCTATTAAATATGAAGATGAAGCACTTCAATCCAGTGAATTACATAAGACAACTTATTGTAATGATAGAATAAAAGAACAAAAGGGATGCAAAAATGAAAATGAAAAATTAAGAAAAAAGTATAAAATTAATAATTTTGAAAATAATGAATCAACAAATAGTGAATCAGAAAATGTGGGACCCATTAATAATTGTCTAATTAATAATGAATTAAAAAACAGTCCTTCAGAAAACAAAGATATTAAAAATAATGAATTAATAGAAGAGTACTTAGAAAATAATAATACAATTAATAGCAATTATGATGTTCATAAAGAATTAATGAAATTAAAAGAATTAAATGTTAACAAAGAATATATAAAAAATACTAATAGCATAAGTAAAGAAGTAAATGAATTATTTGATGAAGAATTTAAAAAAAAGGAATTGTATGAAAGTGAATTTCAAAAAAATATTAAAGTAAATGATGATGATAAACTTTCTAATGATTCTAATTTCGGAATAACATATTCACATAAAATTGAAGAGGAAAAATATAATTCAGAAAAATGTAAATCAGAAAATAAATCAGGAGGTAGTGAAATAAAAGAAAATAATTCAGTGGAAGAAACATATTCAAAGGAAAAAGAAATAGATATAGATGACTTAAAAGAAGAAGAAAAAAAATTAGACAACAGTAACTCTGAAAATAAATTAAATGAAAGCGAATTAAGTTATGATGAGTTGTATTATAATAAATTAAATGAAGTTGAATTAGGAGATAATCAAATAGATGATAATAAATCTAATGAAGTCGCAAATAATGAAAATATATTTGAAGTTGAAAAAAATGGAAATAAAGTAAATGAAAGTAATGTAAATAATAATCAATTAAATGAACATATATTAAATGATAGTCAATTAGATAAAAATCTAACTAGTGAAGATGTGCAAAATAACAAGTATATGAATGATAATAAACATCATGAAAGTAAGTCAAATGAAAAAATAAGTAATCATCATACATATAAAAATGAAGTAAATAATGATAATAATTCAGATGAATTATACGATAATGAATCAAATAAAAATCATTTATATGATAATTGCACAAATGGAGATGAACCAAATAAAGATGGGTTAATTAGATTAGAATTAGACAATAAGAATTTAGATGAAGAGGAACCATATTATATTGAATCAAATGAAATTGAAGTACACAATAATGAGTTAAATGATAATAAATATGAAAATAATAAATCAAATGAAAGTGAGTCAAATAATATTCCATCTAATGATAACCAATCTGATGATTTTGATGATAATAAATTAAATGAAGATGAATCAAATGATGCAGAAGTAAATGAAGATGAATCAAATGATGCAGAAGTAAATGAAGATGAATCAAATGATGCAGAAGTAAATGATGAAGAATCAAATGATGAAGAATCACACGATAAAGAATCAAATGATAAAGAATCAAGTGATGAAGAATCAAATGATGAAGAATCACACGATAAAGAATCAAATGATGCAGAATCAAATGATGAAGAATTAAATGATGAAGAATCAAATGATGAAGAATCACACGATAAAGAATCAAATGGTGCAGAATCAAATGATGAAGAAGTAAATGATGAAGAATCAAATGATGCAGAATCAAATGATGCAGAATCAAATGAGAGAGAATCAAATGATGCAGAAGTAAATGATGCAGAATCAAATGATAAAGAATCAAATGATGAAGAATCATATGAAAATTCTTTAGATGAAAGTGAATCTATCAATAATAAATCAGATGATTACTCAGAAGAATCAGGAAGTGATAATTACAGAAAAGAAAAAAAAAAAAAGAAAAAATACGAATTAGAAAAAATGGAAGGATCAGAAAATAGTGATAATATTTTATCATTTGACAAAATATCACCTTCCAATGAGATAGATGATGAACAAATTATTAATTTTCTAAAGAATAACAAAAAAATTTCTGATAAAAAATATTATCGAGAATATTTAAAGAATCTTCTAACATGTAATAAAGTATGCTCTATTAAGGATCATTCAATTGAAAAAGGTATATTTATTAAAAAAGTAAAGAAATTGTGTGACTTAATAAAAAATAAAAAATTTAATGATAAATATATGAATTACTGGAAATGTAAAGTACGTTTTAAATGTTGTAAACTTCAAAGAGCCTACAAAATATTTTTGGCGATTATTTGTTCTATAGTTAAAGAAATTAATAAATTAACAAAAGAATTAAATAGTATGAGTAATTTCATATTCATAAATTCAGGCATTGAAAATTATTTAAATGAAAAAAACATTTCTATTATTGAAAAAATTAGAGAAGACAATGATTTAATTGATAATTATTTTAGTGAAAACAATATAATAAATGATTTTTTTTTTAATAAAAATTTTTCAAGAGAAGAAGAAAAAAAAAAAAAATATATTTCATACGTACCTTTAGAAAACTACAAGATATTGCTACTATGTTTGAAAGACATATTTAATGAAAAAAATTTAGAAGAACAATTAAAAAATATTTCTTATTATATTGAATTTGACAATTATATACCTAATTATTGCAATTTTTTTTATGATAAATTCAAAATAAATTGTAACTATTTATATCATATACAAAGTTTATATCATAATAGTGCCCCAACTGTTGAATGTTTAAATATGTTCATTGCATGTTTAAATTATAATTATTCAAAAATTCATAAAAAGAAAACTCTTTTTAAATATGAACTAAATAATAATTATTTGTCAACTCTTCCTTTTGTATATTGTTGTGATATTCAAGTAATAAAACATTTGGAATTTTTAAAATTGAAGGATACATGTCAGAAAATAATTAAAGATAATAAGATATATGAAAATTTTTTAAATCATCTTTTTTCATATATATTTGATGAATCATATTTTATTATTCCTTTTTTTACTTCTTATGGAAAATTTTTAATTATTATTAAAACAAATAGAAATGAAAATTCAGAAATTTCCATTGATTCATTGAAAAATAAAAATTCGATTACATATGATGTGATAATTAATAGTTTTGTTTTTCCCAATGATAGCAGTTTTCATGCAATTATTCATTTTTCTCATATTTTCATAAAATGTTTAAAAAACTTTTTTAAAACGAGAAATTCAGATGAAAATATTCCTGAAATATCATTTGCAAATTTATTAAATATAGAAAAACAACAAATTATTTATCAAGTAATATAAAAAGGAAATAATATAAAACAAAAAAATATAAAAATTTTAAGATATTAAAAAAAAAAAAAAAAGACAAAAATACTATGTATATTTAATTTATTTTAATTTAATTTAATTTAATTTAATTTAATTCAATTTATTTTAATTTAATTTAATTTAATTTAATTTAATTTTTTTTTTTTATATATATATAGGAAATAGAAACTAATAAAAATAGGAATGAAATTATTATTAATATGTTTTTTCTTATAGAATCTTTTTTCAAGTTAGATTTACCGAATTTATATTTTTAAAGATACATATTTAATATTATTTAAACAAATATATTATTTCATTTTAATTTTTTTTTTTTTTTTTTTTTTTTTTTGTAGTAATACAAAAAAAATAAGGGTTCCTAAGGAGTTTAATCAAGGATTAAGATTTTTATACATTATCAGATTACTTGAGTTTTTTCACGAAAAAGATTAACGTATATAAAATAGATAAAAAGATAAAAACTTTTAAAAAAAAAAATACTATTAAGAAAAACATATATATATTTTTTTATCCTTTATTTTTAAATTATTAACCATATTCCATAAAATTTAATATGTCTTATGAGAAAATATTTTGAAAAAACTGAAACATTTTATGTATAGAATAATATTTTGATTGAATATATATATTAAAAGAATATTCTCAAACAAATTTTACATTTTTTTAAATTATTTTTTTATCTAACGAGATAAAAAATACAATAATTTATTTTACATATATTTTTTTTTTTTTTTTCTTCTTTGAAATATATATTATTTAATATATACATTTACATGAACTTAGGATTCATGTATTCTTTAATATTATTATTCTTTTATAACAATAAAAAATTATATTGTTATAATTAATAGTAAATATTATAAAAAAAAATATGAAAATATTTAAAAAAAAAAAAAAAAAAAAAGCTTTTTTTTCTTTCCATTTTTTTATATATATTTTTACTGAAAATTTATTATATTTTTTTTTGTTCACAATTATATAATGTTGATTTCATAATTTAAATTTGAAATGTTGCATATATGGGAAAATGATCACTAGGATGATGAATATATGTGGTTTTATATGGAATGAATCCCCAAAAAAATTTGATAAATAATAAGGATCTAAAATTATCTTGAATAGCTGTTTGAGGAACTATAATTTTAATATTAGAATCATTAGATACTAAAATATAGTCTAATGTATATTTATACTTATAAGTGTAATCATTTTCTATATATCTACAATAATCATTTAAGAAAGAATCAAAGGTTGTTTCCAATGACCTCTTTGTAACATGACTATTTAAATAAGTTTTTGATAAAACTTTTTCTAAATATAATTTATCAACATCGTATCTGATATTAAGATCACCAACAAAAAATAATGGTTCATATTTTTTAATGAAATGACTTGGAATACCTTCATAAACCCATTTACTTAATTCATTCAATTGTTTCATTCTAGAATTCTGTTGTTTTATTTTATCACCAGCTTGTAAATGAGTTGCTATAATGTTAATTCTTTTATCATTTACTTCACACTTTAAATATATAGCTCCTTTTGAGCAAAACATATCAGGAAATGTGCTACAAGAATAAATTAATGCATGTTTTTGTAAAATTTTGTGTTTTGATAAAACTAATACACCCCCGTTGAAAAATTGATAAAATTTAGCATTTCCAGTTATAGTATCAAAATTTGAGAACTCTATATTATTAGAAATATCTTTTTTATTTTTGTTATCTATATTTTTAATTAATTTTTCTTTTTGGATGTTTATTTCATTATCATTTTCATTTTGCATTATAAAACAAGTGTCTTCTTCATTTTTATATGAATCCCTTGAAATATAAGACAATGTGTCTTTTTCTTCGTTATATAAAATATCATCATGACACTCATTACTTTTACACTTTTTACCTACTACATTTGTATGATATGGAAATCTCTTTTTTATTTCTCCACTTGTTAATAATTCATAACTCTTTTTTGTAAAAACTTCATTAAGTACTAATATATCAATGTTATATAAATCATCAAGAACATTTATATATTCAATTATTGCATTCCTTCTCATCCAACTATTCAAATGTATGCTAAAAGGAATAGATAACATTTGAATATTATATGACATAATAGTTAATTTACCTTTTTCTAAGGTACTTAATGAAATCATCTTTTTATTTATAACATTAGTAATAATCTTTATTTTAATTCCTTATTAATTCTATAAGTTATTACAAATTTATACTTATTCTAATAGTTTTTTTTTCTTTTTTTTTTTATACTAATTTCTTAATAATAGATTATATTTGATGGTACTTTATATTTTTCTTTTTTTTTTTTTTTTTCCTTTTTTTATATCATTTTATTTTCATAATATTGATAATTATAATTATAATCTTTATAATAATAATAATTGAACATTTAACTAAAATAAAAAAAAAAAAAAAAAAAAAAAAAAAAAAAAAGCAACAGCTACTAAAAATATTTACTAAAAACTTTTAAAGTTCATATAGATAATAATATCCAAATATCTTTATGTTTTGAGTAAATTTTTTAAAAAGCAAAAAGAAAAAATTTTTTAATTTTTAAAGTGAATTGAATTCAAAGAATTGCATATTTTAATATTATTACTTTTCATTTTACATTTTTAGATTAAAATTGTTTATCTAAAGGTTTTTATTTTTATTTTATGTTGATATAAAAAAGCTCTAAATCTTAAGTCCTTATATGTCTTTTTTTTTTTTTTTTTAACTGCATAACAAAAAAAATTTTTAATTTTTATATCAGTTCACAATATAAAATACTACTAATTTTTACACAAACTTAATAATTATCCATAAATACATCAACTGTTTTATATTTATTTCCCTAAGGGTTTGGATAATTCTTATATAAAAAAATAAAATATATATATATATTTATTCAATTATATCTGTAATACAAAGAAAAAAAAAAAAAAAAAAAAAAAAAAAAAAAGGTTTTTTAAAAAAAAA